CCCCCCCCCCCCCCCCCCGAATAGACAAATCTGCTCCGCACCACGGGGCCCCACGCGGTTGATGGGATCGAGGCTAGTCATCGCGAAGAAGGTTCCTGAGATCGGTCCAGCGCACACAACACCACAACATGGACTCAACAGACGGAAGCAGTTCTGCTCGGAAATAACTGCACTGATAAAAACGATGGCGAAGGCCGACAATCATGACAAGAGGCTTCCGTCGCTTTTTGTTTCTCCCTTTGATTGTGTGGGTTCAGTCGTCCATAAACACCAGCCAGCACTCCACTCGCTAGTCACGCCAGCCAGCCTTACGTACCTCAAAGCCGTACTGCTTGGAGCCGATCACGGTCTTTATCGCGAAGGCGAGCTGCTTGGGATCCCTGACGTCGGTGACGGTGTGGCACACAAGGGAGGGGAGGATCTCCTGGGTCTTGATATATGCGGCGCGGTACCCCTCAAGGATCTCTGCCGTGTGGAGGCCCTCCCTTAGCAGGTCCGCCGCCAGCTTGAGCAACTCGCCTGCAAAGGCACCAACACAAGCGCGATTGATGTTTTATGGTGCAACCGTTGTCCACTAGTAGGGTATTTTGATTTTATGTATTCGTGTACGAACACACGTGTTCGTGTCGATGGTGCAATCGTTGTTCGCTAGTAGAGGGCATTTCACTCTCACGTATTCGCGAAAAAAAAAAAGGCCTTCTGGTGCTTAGTGAGAGCCACACCTGTAGCCCCTCGTTTCAACACCCCAACGCGCCGAGAATACCGCCCGCTCAAACACAAGTGCAATCGTTGTTCACTAGCGTGGAAGTAGAGCTATGTAGACATACAAGCGTTAGCCGTACCTTGTCGTGGTGTGTGCGAACATATATAACAGCGCACGGGACTTGCACTCTTGAGAGCTGGTCGAATCCAATTCTCAAAAAAAAAGAGTGCCAACGGAGGGCGGAAGCCCTAACTCTGCCCCTTGGTCCCGCCCCCTCTCCCGATGATCGCTCACCCGTCAGGGTGACCACAAGACTGGTGCCGTCGCCGGCCTCCTGCTCCTGCATCTGCGATGCCAATACCACCATCTTCGCCGCCGGGTGCATGACCTCCAGCTCCCGGACGATCGTCGCCCCGTCGCTCGTGACGATGGTCTTGTCCAAGTGGTTGACTACCAGCTTGTTCATGCCTACATGTCCGTAGGTAAAAACGTACCAAGTGATATTTGCCCGCGGTATTTTAAGGAAGTGGACAGATACGAAAACAGCAGAAACATTATTCCACCCGTTGTAGATAAAGCGATACACTAATCGAAGGGATAAGGATGTGATTTTAAGGGAATAACAGCCGTCTGTGCAAGGATAGACAGCTTGCGTGACCAAAATAACCCCACTAATAGCGCTGGTGTTTCATGTAAAAGCCCGGGGGTAGCCCCGGCCTCTTCTGAGGCCCTTGACTCTTTGTTATATTTTCTCAAAGAGCGGACATGTCTGTGTGGCTTAGGATGCGAGTTGATCGACGTTCGGAAGATGAAATTGGTTGAGGTTGAATTAGATCCTAGCGCTGGTGATTCACAAACGTTGTTGTGCTGGTCGTTGTCGACGTCAAGTATCAACTATTGCCGACTTTTCGACGCTAAAGTCACGCAAAACAAGGACAGGTAAGATCTCTCGTCGCATTATTAAATAAAGACAAAGGTCAGGAATGTATTGCGGGCCCTTCAGAAGCTGATAGCATTAGACTGGTCTAATGGTTCGATCTCGGCTTCAATAACTGCTCGTCGTGGCATCCATCCTAAATGAACCAATTTTTGGCTTGATTTTGGCTTCTATAGGCCAAGGTATTGTGTCCCGAATCTGCCTCTCGACTAGAACTGCCTGGTCCCACGGACGCCCATAGGGTGTTGATGAAAGGACCCTGATGCCAACTATTCCGGATCGATGCGAAGCGCCAAGAACTATGGCGTCTTCATCACCAACGACCAGGAGATCTATATCTCCCAATCTATGTCCCCACCCGCAGGCGTCTCGAGCGCACAATCTGCACCCCACCACATCACCGGGCGAAACATATGTTCAACCCCTTTGACTGCTGCGGTCCTGTATTACTTCGAACGTACACAAGAAATCTCTTTTTGATTGTATGTATACCATACTTCTTAGCTCAAAAATCTCAGCCTCAAGTCTACGCCGCTCATCTTCCTCTCACCATTGGGCCCCAGGGATGTCCTAACGATAGCGGCCAGCTCCTTCGCCGCGTTGATGTTCCTCATGATAGCCTCGTCCACACCCTCGTAGGAGCTGTGGCCGTCCTTCAACATGCCCTGAAGCCCGGAGGCCAGGTTCATGCCCATCGACTTCGCCATCTTGGGAAAGAACGAAGGCAGTCAACAACAACTCCTTGCTGCGTCCTTCCGCTTGCCCTATTTTCCGGCAGTCGGCACGTGCGACAATGGTGCGCTTTGAAGTCAGAGTCAAGGCAGGCAGATATGTGTATGGAGGCATGACGGTGCCAGAAGCTGCACAAGGAAAGCATGGCCCGGTCTCTTGCCGCGCAAGCTGCCAGATAGCATCACAGGTGGTAAAAACAGTTCGCGTTAACCACACGAGGGAAAAAGTGACCATAACACAGCAGCATGTATGAGGAATGGGCGCTGATAGGACGTAAACCGACACAGCAATACGGACGGTTACGTACGCCGACGGTGGGAATTGTACAGGGATAGGCCTGCCGACAGGCATCGACTCTGCTAACGGGGGGCAAGAACAAGGTGATGTACATGGATGATGCCTCCAGATGTGAATGGGGGTAAAGGGCAAGTGGGTGACGTAAGATAACACACCCCCTTGACCGATTTTCAAGGCTCGATTGCTCCACAGGAGACAGAGTGGCGGTGCCGAAAATGGCAGCGTTGGAATCGTGTGGGGCGAAATATTCCCCCGAGAACACACCATTTGATTTTGACATCCTCTTCTTGTTAGAGTAATAATCGAGCTTTGAACATCACTCAAGGGGATGTGATATCTTGTGTAACCTACGGCAGGCAGTCTTGGGTTGATTGAGATCTGTGGGGGTAAGTAGCATGGCACCTTTTCTTTGTTAGACTCAAACGAAAGAGAGATGATTGGCGTCCCGTCCTTTTCGATCGCGTCAAACGCGCCTCTCAGGTATGGTATTGCTTGCGTTCATCAAGACGGGACAAGTCGCTGAACCGATGCCGAAGAGAGAATCAAAGACATCCATTCCCCCTGCGTGGTAGATACAAGCAGATCCTGGCAAAGAACATCTTACACAAAAAATTGCAAAAAAAGCGAAGGGACGACCAAACAATCAAGAAGACACCGGCCAAACACCATAACACACGGAAGCCTGCATTCAACACCTACCTCCATCGCACCCATCGGGTGGTGGAGGTTAAGAATCGTTCTCGCAACAGCTTGCGTCCAATGGTCAGCGCCTCCGCAGCCGACTTTCAAACGCAGTTTGGCGCCCCACGAAGCCAAGCTAAAGACCAGCAACACTGTTTTTTGCCACCCAACAAACGCAGCTGAGCATCACACCGCGGCTTGACATGACGCGCAACACAGCCGTGGAAATTGCACGGATAGATCTACTGCTGTCGTGGGTGTGGGGCAGCCCAGAGCGTGGTGGGTGGGTGGTGAAGGCGGCGCGAATCCAAAAAGCACTAGTCTACTGATAGTACCGTCTTTGCTCGCTTCGTGTGGTCTGGCCTGCCCTGTGCGGCCTACTGATTTTCCCCATTAGCACACCTGAGTATTCCGCCTGGGATCACCACTAGCAAGGCTACCAAGGAGCCTTCGTTGTTGATGAGGCGCTGATCGGTGTGCAGAGAGAGAGAGAGCTCACGTGTTACGGACGTGCACCGCTCCAGCACGAGCCCGACGACGACGCCTTTTTGAGCCGGGGCTCCGTGAATGAAAGAGTCTAACTTGTTGATCCCCCTCGTGGTCTTTTTTTTTCCAGTGTTCCTTTGCTTTTTGTTTTGGAAGCACCACGACACAAACCTTGTGTGTGTCGGTGTTGTATGTATCTCTGCGTGGGTTGCAGCACAGAGTAACAGATGCACTTATCTTGGGCTAGTCTAGGTGCATACGTAGTCCGCCGTTGACTCTGGTTTCACACGTAGCATAGATTTTGTAAGAACTACGCGGTGCATATTTGCATCCATCATCAACATATATTTATCAACTGTCACCTATTTTATTTAGTAGTGGGTAGTGGTCGCACCCTCCCTAGACCGACTTTCATGGCTCAGTTCCTCCACAACTAAGAGGGAGCGAAAACCGCCCGACAGATCTAAGGAAAGCTCTCGGCGAGATGTCTTCATAAACCACCGGATTCCATCGCGGTCGTGCCCTCCCCTCGCTTGTAGAGAAGTCGACCTACGGAACGAATAAGTCCTCGGTGTGTTCAGGGGGAAGGCGATCACTCGCACAACGATGAAGTACGTCCGGTCATGGCCACGAGGTGTGTGAGTACTACCTCTGAAGAAGATGAGAGAGGGCATATGACAGCTGAGCACATATTGCAGCGAAACACAGCAGGAGCCCCCCACCCGCGGCCTTCACGACTCTTGGTCGGTATCGTATTGTAGATACGCCTCGAGGAAATGCTTCGGACGAAGGGGTGTTGCCGATGTGCTAACGATGTTGTGCCCTGGTTGCAAGAACATGCCGGGGCCCAAACTCCCGCAACATCACGCAGTCACTACCATGGTACAAACAAGTCTGGCTGTTTTTACTTGGGTAGCTTGATCCGGTTGGTCTCGGTCAAGCTATCTCTTGTGTCGGGGCCACTATCCATTCCATCTGCCGAGAGAGATAATTGGTAGAAATTGAAGCTTTCGCTCATTGGTGCTTGGTGTACCGGTCCCGGCTGGCACACCAAGAAACACACGCAGCGCCCCACTCAAAGACGAGAATATCACAGACTGTAAAGTACCAGCTCTCACCCTACACCCTACCTTAGAATGCCACCAAAGGACAGGGTGCTCTTCAAAAGTCGACAAACACACCTCCGTTGGTAGGTGTACTCTCCCAACTACTGCAACTCGCAACCACAGTCCTCCAGAGGACAGAAATCCTCCACGTTGACAACCAAAACGACCAAACACAAACGCAAAAAAACTCACACACACCAAGGAGGCGAACGTTTCACAAAAACTCGGCTCGCGACGCAAGCTCGGTCTGTTTGCTGAGCCCAAGCCTGTGCACGCTACCCCCGGAGCCCCCCGCCCCATCCCTCCTCCTCTTCTCCCCCCGCGAGGCCCCGCCGCCGCCGCCGCCGCCGCCACCTTCTCCCCCCTTGCCTCTGCCGCCGCCGTCCCCCGGTCGCCGCACCACCCGCTTGCCGACCTTGACTGCCGTTGGCGGGTCCTTGAGGGCGAAGCTCCGTGCGACGTGGCCCAGGTGGAGGGAGCGCACCTGGAACACCGCTCGGCTGTCGGGAGCGCGGGCCGCGTAGGCGCGGACGTGGCTCTGGAATGCCGAGCGCGCGCGGTCCAGGAGGGGCTTGTCGCCGGCCACGAGGAGCTGCAGCCCTTGCTGGAGCTCGTACGCCAGCTGGGG